ATAAACGCAACCCCCCTTACCTTCGCAAACATCATATCCACCCTTAGTAGTGCTGATCCACTGGTAAAGGAACTTGCAGCCCCATGTTATTTGACCAAGCCGTACTAGGAGCAAAACGAACAGTCTCAACTTTTGTTCCGCCCAAAGCCTCTCCTTTCCTTTCACGCATCCCTTTCTTCTTCCTTCACGTATGCATTCCACCTGCTGCCATAACCAATTTGGGTCCGTGTAGGACTCAAGAAGGATTCTCTTCTTGAGAATCCTCCGCCATGACTTCTACCTCCTCCTCCTCCTCTTCCTCTTCCCCATATGCATCACGCACCCTGATCGCAGTCAGGTCTGCTACTGCCTGTCTTTTATTGTGGTACTTAATTTTATCCTTATTGCACAGTTCAACCAACTCTTGCTTATATTTGGCCGTTAATTCTCTCTCCATATATTGCTTATACCGCCTTCTCCCTCTTGGCCCTGGGTTGGCAACAACGACCTTCCTACCCTCTCTTACTCTATCAAATCCATGCCCTGAGGGGTTACCCAATCTAACTGCGGACGGTGACCCCGTCACCCGTCTAGCAATTTCAGCCACTGAGGCAAACACATCTGCTAGCCTACCGGTTGATCGTCCAACCGCTGGATTGTTGTCCACATTCATACAAGAAGGCCCAGGCGTGTCAGCCCCAGGCGCCATGCTACGCATGACAGGTCGGTTAGCGGATCGAGGTTCCTGCTCCCTTATCGTAACTCCAATATTTCGCCTAGTCACCTGTTCAGACGGAGCAGGAGGCGCCGTGGGAGCCGGAGGGGGTGGAGGAGGTGGAGGAGGAGGAGGAGGAGGAGACACGTGTCGAGGAACGTGGGGAGGGGGAGGGGGAGAGGGAGGAGCAGGAGCCGGTGAGAGAGGTGTGTCGAAACCACGCCCCTCCATATTCCTAGGCGGAGTCCCGACAGCAGGGCGTTGAACTTCAGGAGCAGCAGGAGGGACATGGACAGCCGGAGGCTGCCGTGAAGGCGGATCTGGGGCCACCGTACGTGCAGGAGGTGCTGGTGGAGCAGGTGCCACGTAGGCAGGTCCGTAGGAGGGTACCGGGGCAGGCACCACAGGTGGCACAGCGGCGGCCATGTTGGATCGTTGCGAGGCATCGATCCTTTCGATCATCCCCAATAAACGTTCAGACATCTGATTTTGTTGCGCCTGCGCTCTCTCCAACATCTGGCTCTCGTCGTCTGGTTACGTTGTACCGTATCCAGGTTCATCAACAGAAGCCCAACATCAAGGCCACCCATCTCGTTGACTCGCTGCCGTGGAGTAGAAGGTTGCCCAAGTTGAACGCCAACAATCTCTTCTTGCCCTCTCTTCTTGTTGTCTGCGAGAACTGTCGTTTTATCCGAGCCTTCAGCTCCTTTCTCCTTCCCGAGCGTTTCCCATAGCTTCTTATTGTCCTCCGCCTGCTTGCTTTCCACTGCCTTAATCCTTTCGTTAATCATCTTTGCTAGTCTTTCTTCCTTCTCGGCTTCCTTCTTAGCTTCATTCTCTTGCCTTCTCTCTTCCATTTCTATCGCCAACCTTTCCTGGTTCTCTCTCGCTCTATTCTCATTTTCTATCCTGCGAGCCTCGCGCATCTCTCTATTATCATACACGATCTCCCGCATCAATGCCAGTACCTCACCATCGCTGGATTTCGCTCTCTGATTCCAATTATTCCATCCATTACCCCCGTGACTGGGGACGATATGCCGCGACTGGTACGACACTAATGCGTTAGAAGACGAGGGGATTGGATCAGAAGCCAACGAAGGCTGGTTCGTGGGAACAGATGGAGCAAACGAGACAAGAGGGGGGGAAAAGGAGGGCGCAGGAAGGGGCGGGGCAAAGGGTGCGTAGGGGTTGTGCGGTGGAGGCGGAGGAGGAGGCGGGTTGAGCAAAGGTGGGCCGCGGCTAGAAGATGCACCATAAGCAGGCCCCCCAATTGGCCTTCCGTTTATGAATCCACTATCTCTTCGAGGATGAGGGCACGTCCTCGCCCAGTGCCCGTGTTGCCCACAATTAAAACAAGCCCCGTACGGAATAAAATTATTGTTATCCCCCATTGCTCTGGACAAAGAAATTGACTCCCGCCTGCGAGAGGACAGCAGGACCGTCGCTTGTCAGCTAGTTAGGTGGCGGCTTGAGTACACGGTCGATCTGCAGAAGCTCGTGATGCTGATCTTTAGGAAGTTGGAGCTGATAGTCTTGGAAAATCTTGATAAAAACATGCGAATCCACCACTCGCGCATATCATGAAGGTTAACGCGCTACTAAAGATGGTCAAAAGCCAGACAACGTGCATGGACGCACGACGCTAGTGTAGGGTTAGGGATATAATCCCTGCCATAGACTACAAATAAATCTTACGACCAATCACAACTTAAACCATAGTTTGTCAGCAGATGGCTTCACGCACGACTTGACACTGATCAGAAGTAGAGAGTTCAGACAAAGGATCAAAGAGGAAGAAAGAAGAAAATGAAAGAAGAAAGATGCAAGACGAAAGGAGGAAGGAAGGACGAAGAAGAGAAGATGAAGAGAGACCACCCAGAATAAGCGCAACGTCAACTCTTTTCCATAAAAAATGCGTGAAGAACAAAGAGCAATCTGGCGTCGTCCCGACCGGTTTCGGTTCCATGCCAGAGATGGAACCATCATCAGGGGACATGGCGAGCGCTTACCTTGGGTGGTAATTCTAGCCTACATATATCTTCTCCTGGTTTACCAATCGACTACCTCTGCGAACATTAATACCCGTCGTAACTCCAGCCAGTGCCCTGTAGCTGCCCGAGAGGTCAAAAAAGCGGGAGCGCAGCAGAACATAGCACAGAATCTAGGTGGGAAAAACAGCTCAGGGAAGCGTCAGCGGGATACGACGAAAGAGCCGTGGTAAGCAATGGCAGAAAACAAAAGATCCGGCGGGACACATAGAGAGATAGTGAGGGATGGGTGAAAGAGAGCGAACCCCGAGAGCGGGAAAAGAGAGAGAGAGAGAGAGAGAGAGAGAGAGAGAGAGAGAGAGAGGGGAAAAAAGATAGCGGCATATGGGGAGATCCGTCAGAAGTCGATACTATGGTAAGGGGAAGACAAGGACAAGAAGGAGGTGGCGTTCTGGTCGGTGGACTTACGCGGAGGAAAGACGCGGGTGCAACTGCCGTAGGACTACTAGGAAAGGAGAAGAAGGAGGTGGCGTTCTGGTCGGTGGACTTACGCGGAGGAAAGACGCAGGTGCAACTGCCGTAGGACTACCAGGAAAGGAAAGGAAAGGAAACGTGTAAAAACCTGGGGAATCGGGGCATATCAGTCAGACCCTAACGCTAGCTGGATCGTATCTGAAGCAGCCTTACTACCGTCCAAAACAGTACTCCCCCGTTCAAATCCTGGTTCAGCGCGTCAAATGCACTTTTGAGCCCAATCCTAGTTCGAATATTTTTACGCACCCGTCTAATACGTCCAGGTGGACCTTCGAAACATCATTAATGGCTTTGAAGAAAACAAGCCCGGGGAACCCCTTCAAACGATATGCCCTTCTGGGATTGGGGTTGCGCAATCCCAGCCTCACCACCTCAAAAAAAAAAAAAAAAAAAAAAAAAACGATTTCTGGGGGGCCCCGTGTTGGTAGTGAGCGATGACTAGGAAGCAAAAAATAACAAAAAACTACGCGTTCCCGTTGATTGATTGATTGATTGATTGATTGATTGATTGATTGAT